CAGTAGGAAGCCTCCTTGGGTGTTGGCCATGCCATAGCTCTATTGCCAGCTCCTACCTGTCCCTAAGCATTGAAAGCCCAGTTGCTGGGTCTTGTGTCACCTCTGAGCAGCACTTGAGATCCCGGAAGAAGACACTGTTAACCTCCTGACGATGAGAGAGACCTATGTGGGTGTGGCCGACACAGCGATGCGGCTGTGGGTCCAGAGCCCATGCCCACTCATCTCTACTGGCTGATTTTTCTCTGTCCTCGGATAACTTCATCCATTAGGAGTCTTCCTACATCTTCTACTCTACCCCAAGGTGCCCTTGCTGAGGCTCGCTGCCCTGTTGAAGCTTGAAAAGTCATAGCCCTGTGAGCTCCATGAAGTTGGCTATGATATTAGTTAATTTTCTTGTTGCTGTGACTGAATATATAAGGGAACAATTTAAGGTAGAAAGAGTTCTGTTGGCTTATGGTTTGAATGGATCTAGTCCGTCAGGAGGAGAAAAGCATGGTGAGGTTCATGGCCACAGGATCAAGAGGCTAGAATTTTTCACACACTGGAGTTCAAGAAACAGAACTCTGAGTTGGGACTCAGCTATATGGCATAGGCCTCTCTCCCAGCTGCCTATTTCCCACAGCTACTCCCTACCTTTAAAATGTCGATGTCCCCTCCCCCTCAAGCAGCGTCACTGGCTGAGGACCACACATGAGCTTGGGTGGGGGATGCTTCACTTTCAAGTCACAGTATGCAGGATCAGCTCTGGTCTCTCAGGTCCACTGGTTTTCCCAGATGCCTAGGAGTGGTCCAATTAGCAATCAGAGGTGGGGGCTGGGAAGTCATCAGCACTTCACTTGGTTGTCCAGGCAACAGGAGCCACAGGCAGGACAATTTCTTTAGCAAACTGGAAGGGTGAGTGGTCAGGTACTCCTTGCTATCTCCAGGTAGGAGATCTCAATTTGAGCTTCTCTTCAGGAGGAGAGCCAGACACTCAGGGCTACTCTTCCACTGTGGTGGAATTGATAGAGTTTTTGAGCATTTCTCAGTGGAAGCATCTTTGCTACTAAGGACAAATGGAGAATTGGGGCAATTACCTATATATCTGAGTCCCAAGCTCTGCTGTCCTCTGGAGTGTTGGACAAAAAGCACATACTCCAAATAACCTGATTTTTAAATTTTAGCCCGAATCATCTGTATCATAGCAAGATCTTACTTGAATGACTCAGACAGACTATATCAATTTTCCGCATTCTTTTGCTGTGGAAGCTGAGCTGTTAGTGGCCACTTTTGAAATAGGAGAATGGGTCAAACACACAGGCACACACACACACTCACACACACGCACGCACACACACACACACACACACACACGAAACAAAACAAAAAAAATTGAGGTTGTAACCTAGAAAAATTTCTAGAATTTCATTGTTTGGTATTTCTTAATAAAGTGTGTGCCAGGAGGCGGGGATGCGAATGTTGTCCCCACCTCTCTCTACTAATAGGATGTAGTAGGTGACATGCTTCCAATGAGAGGGTAGCTTTTATTGTTCATGCGGAAGAATGCATGGGTGGAAATCAGGAAGACATGCCACTTCTCTCTGATTGGTACTGAAGAGATTTAATTGGTCCTGTGTTTGTTTCAATTATGCCGTATTCTACTTCTGCAGTTAAATTGTTCTTTTCTTATTTGTTGTTCATTATCAAGCCAGTCTAATAGTGTTGAATACAGCATAATTAGACTTTTTTTTCCCCCTCAAAGGAGAGGTTATTTTCCCTCACGGAAAACACAGAATATTTTAAGACAATGTTTTAGTGTTGGCGGATATTTTTATCTGTAGTGAACTCATGAGGAAGCTAAGCCACTCACTAACAATTCTTTTGTCACCTGATGGAGCTGATCTTGCTTATTCTTGAGACCTCATCATCTTCCCATGACACATCTATGTTTGTGGCATGTGTGTGATTCTGTGGGTTGGCTCAGGGGCTGCAGCAGAGGGCTATGGCATGGAGGCTTGATGTGGACCCCTGAATCTGAACACATTCTAGCTGGAATGAGCAGTTTCTCGGCATCCATGGTCTCCTTGTCAGTCAGTAGCTCCTGACTCTGTGGGCTGTTGAAAGTGCTGAGAGTACCTTAGATAGCTGCTTTTATCGTGAGATAATTTTTGCTGTGATTTTCATTCCTTTCCTCTCAAGAAAGCATAATCTATATGCCAAGGGCCATTGTCATTGTCTAAGGACAAACAGCCTCTCATACATTTTAATATACATTTTTTTATATTGCAAATTTGTATTCTTAGAGAAAAGGGCTCAGAGGAACTGAGGAGATGGTTCAGTGGATAAAGGACCTGGGTTCGAGTCTCCAGCGCCCATGTAACCTGTAACCCAGATGGTGCTCTCTCTCTCCCTCCCCCACCTCTCGTGTGTGTGTGTGTGTGTGTGTGTGTGTGTGTGTGTGTGTGTACGTGGATTCCAGTAGCTCACTGGCCAACTAGCGCAGTCAGCTTCTGGTTCAGTGAGGGGCCTGTCTCAAGGAAGTGAGGTGGAGAACCATGGCAGAAGACACATGTCTTGCTTTGGCCTCTGCAGGCGTGGGCACAGGCTCGTGCCCACATACTTCCGTATACCTGTACACTCATATATCCCCCCCACGGAAAGGAAATGGTCTACATTTGGTTCTGAATCCAGTGCATGTTCTATTTTGAGAATTCCTGCCCTGGGTAATTTTCTTCTCTGTATTGATGTGCGCAACTGAGTCTAACAGGTAGCTAAATGCTATTTGAAAGCACGATTCATCCCTCCCGGCAAATCAAATATCGGAGGGATTCAATTCATTTGGGGGGAAAAAAGCATTTGGCTTTTTAAAAACGCTCGAACTATTCAAAACGTTTTATTGAATCACTTTTCCTTTCACCAGAAATCATAATAAAAACAATAAAGCTAAGGCTGCCCCTGCCATGCTTAGGTTATGTGATTATTCCTTGTATAAATGAAGCTTATTAAGCTTAATGTTCGTTAAACTAAAATCAAACATTCTATATAACAACTAAAAGACATCCTATTCCATGTGATCTGGGGGAGTTAAATTCAGACACATTTATGTATTTGGGTTATGTTAGGGCTAAACTCACTAGTCAATGGAAAACTGAAGACAATTAAGACAATTTATTCTAAACATGTTTAAATCATTACTTATGAGACATTTGACTTCATTTCTCCTCAAAGCCAATTTTGAGATTCTTCTCTTACCCAGCATGCACCAGTGTGCATGCACAGGAGGGCTTGAGGCAATGGCCAGAGAGGTCCCTTCTGGTCTTTTGCCTGCCGCCATTCTTATTCCGGAAAACCATCCTTTCTCAGATTTACAACATGAAAAAGATTTAACACATTAAAGCAACACAGCCAGTCGTTCAAAGCTATGTTACATAAAATATAGTAGATTTTATAAGCTGTTAAAAAAAAACAAAAGCGTTTTTAAAAGGAGGGGTCTGAATGCAGTGATAATGCGTTTGCTTAGCTCAACAAAGTTTTGGGCTCTTCCCCTAGCACTGGGAAGAAAAAGTAAATTTAAAATATTTTTAATCTCATATTTTTACTTCAACCTGCTTGTCTTTGAGTTTAAAAGAAAGAAAGGCAAATAAACAAAATCATGAGTGTTTAAAAGCCAACCATGTTGACTTACACTAGTTGTTTTAATACTTAGAAGGCTGAGGCAGGAGGATTACTGAGAGTTTAAGGCCAGTCTGGACTACAAAGTGAGACCTTGTCTTCATAAAACAAAACAAAACAAACAGGATTAAAGCCCTAGAGCAAACAAAATACAGCCAAGCCCCATAAACTAGTAAATCACTGCAGGAAATGCCAAGCAGTTTCCAGAAGGCTCACATACCTGAAGGGCTTTGGAGTCCGTGCAGGTCTCCAAAATCAGGAAGCTAATTTATCAGTGACAGGACTCGCTGAGTGGCTCCTTGCGTCAAGGAGTGAAAGAGAGAAGGTTTGGGAAGCGCTCACCGAAGAAACACCCTCATGCCAACTTCTTAGCTAATTTTGGGTGAGGAAAATTTATGCGTTCAGAGCATGCTTTCTTATTTTATTTTTCCAAGTCAACATGCCTGTCTAGACTCTGAGCTTTATTGCAAGTAAAGAGAAAACGGGCTGGATCACCTTAAAAAAAAAAGTCTCAGCTAATTGACCAGAGGCTTGTCCCTCTGCAAACATCTCTCTGTAGGCAAACGCTGAGAAAGTTGGAATCGGGCCTGGCAGGACAGAGGAAGGCCACCCCCTCCCCTATTATCCGGAGCAGAGTTTCCAATCACAGTCAAGCGGTGGTGCTAATTCCTTGCTTCTGAGACTGCATTTCCTAATTTCATGGTCATAACAGCCTCGGGAACGGCTTCTACCAAAACTGAAAACACAAGGCTCCATGCTCAGCAGCCCTGTGACGCCAGGAGAGGCCAATGTCCCCTCCTCTGCCATTCCCTAGCACAAGAAGGCAGTCTCTGGGGGACATTCTTCTCAAGCAGGTACTTCTATCTCTTCTCCATTTCTTTAGCTTCCCCCCTTTCTTTCTTTCTTTCTTTTGGCTTTACTGTGCTATTACGTGTAAGCAGGCTGGAGTCTCAAGAGCTCGCCTCCCCTGTGAAAATTTGTCCGTTTTCTTTCTTTCATTGCTCTAGGGATATTTTACAAAGTTTCTGGCAAACATTACCATGATGTTAGCGTGTTAAACCTGACCTTGGTGCCGTGGAAATACACTCTGGGAGCCACGTTCAGCTGAGTCAGAGGGCGACGTGGTTATCTTTTCTTAGTACAGCTCTGACAGGCTGCCTGCCTTCCCCAGATCACGTCTGTTTATTGGTCCCAGGTCTGGCTGTTGGAGATTCTGTGTGGCTGAAACATGCGCGAGCTTAAAAAGTTCCTGCTTAGACTGGCGTTGTACTTGCCTCAGCGCGACCTTGTTGCTTAATCTTTGGTGCCGTGACTTATGGGAGCTTGATCTCAGTAAGCGACCGGGATAAACCGTCATTTGTTTTTCCGAAGGTAGTTGGGTTTTCTGCAAAGCGATGCAATCTAGTAATTCATCTAGTCTTGAAGCTGCCCGGTGACCGTGGGCGAGTTCTGAGCCCCGTAGCTCAGACCTGAAAGTAGCCATGGGTGACTGGGTTTTCTTTCTTCCTTTCTTCTGAGGCAGGGTGATGTGGATGTTGAGGATGGTGCCACACAGTGTGTGCCACTCGCTAACGACGGGGTAGTGACAAAAGGCAGGGAAGGAGACTTTCATTTTGGCCACAGGAAAGCCGCCCGTTTCCTGTAATGGAAAGTCTCGTGCTTGAAGAAGAATTTGCCAGTGTTCGTTCTCTCTGACTTGCCTACAAAAGCCTAGATGGTTAGAATCCATTTAAAAACTTTTTTTCTTTTTACCTAATAGAAGGGTTGGGTTTTATTAAGATGTTTGATTGCGGCATGAAGTACCACTCACGGGTGCCAAATGTTTTAAAATTAGCTTCTTGGGCCAAATCTAGGAGATTTATAGAGCACCTCCACCCACAAGGCTGCTGGGAAATGTATTGAGTTTTGAATTTGAAACAATAATGGAAGCCGAGAGGGTGGAAAGTGAACCTGTTTAAATTTATTTTTTAAAAAGTCAATAGGGCGGGGACCTCTGTGATCTGAGGTTCAGCCCCTATTTCTTTTCTTTAAAATTCTTTTCTCTTCCCCCCCAACCTAATAAAAAGACAAACGTTTTGCTCTTGTCTTGCTAATACTCCAAGAAGGCCCCATTCTTGTTCTTGTGTAGATATAAGACTGTAGCAATTGGATCCAATCTTGTAGTGATTGGTAGATTTTTGTCACAGAAGTTAGAAATAAAACTGACCCAGGTGTCAGAGACAGGCCAGGCAGGAAGAAAGGCAAAATATTGGCTGTGATTATCAGGGTTTGTGAGTGCGTGGGCTGTGTTGCTTTGACACTTGCATGTAATTGTTCAGTTTTGTGGCTCATGACAGGAAAGGAGGAGAAGCAAGCCCTAAAGAATACATTTGCTGTGACAGCAAAGTCAGACAACTATCTTTTCTTTCAATGATCGCAGGCTTTCGTTCAGTTGTGGGCTCAGAACCACCTGCCATCCAGGCACCCATCTGCCTTCCTCCAAACGGAAATCCCCAAACCCCTATAGACATTACAGCGGGTACCTGCTGAGCCCACTTGCTCAGAGTGATTGCTTGACCTGAGGCCACGGTTGAGTTTCAGTTTGCTCCATGGATACAGGGGAGGCTGTAACGGAAAACAGCTTGGATAAGACCATTATGCCTTTGGTAAAACGCATAGGAGATGTAGTCCTGCCCATCTACCTCTGCCTGGGCTCTCTGGCTGTTTACTGAGACAGAGATACCACCTAAGAGACTCCCTGTGAGTCCCTATGAGACACAGGGACTAACCGTGTGTGTGTGTGTGTGTGTGTGTGTGTGTGTGTGATATGATGTGTGCAGGGTGGGGGTGGGGCTTCTGTGGTCCATAGTACACATGTGGCGGTCAGAGGACATCTTTGTGGAGTCACCTCTCTCCTTCTATCTTTCCATGGGTTCTGGGAATTGAACTCAGGTCGCCAGGCTTGCACAGGGAGTACTTCACTCTGCCGTACCCACCCCTCTGCCCATGCTCTTTGTAAAAAAAAAAAGGCCTCTACAGGTAGCTTTTGCTAAAGATGGTGATGATGACGGTAATTTTGCCTCTTAAAGCGACATCCTAGTAATCTTTTTTTTTTTTTTTGATCATCTCCTGAGACCGCAGCAGCGAAACTGCATGGTCTCAAGAACTGCACGACTTTCTAGGAGTCTACTATTTTTGTTCTCCTCTGAAAGTCCGTGATTTTTAGAGATCCAAGGAGCTTGAGCTGTCCGCCCATCCCTAGATATATCCTGCTATCAAGCGTATTCCGCTGTCTAGGTTGTCCACCTCGGTTAACCTTTCGGTGAGGATTCACAGGTCCAGGGAAAGTGACCAAGTCCCCGCCTTAACTCCTCCTACTTCCTAGCTGTGCCATTCAGGGCCACGTTCCTCACCCTTGGCCTCCAATCTCTGCCAGGAAGGGGCAGTACGAGAGTTGCTACCAGGTGTCCACTACATGGGCTCAGTGAGCTTGAAGCACGCATGGAACTACTTGCAGCCTTCACGTTTTAGGAACTCAATATAATGCTTGTAATAATATCAGAATTCAGAGATCAAAGACAACAAGGTTATGAGTTCAAGCTCAGCCTAGGCTACCCAGTAGTAAGTCCCTGTGCTACTCGACTGTCCCCACCCAAAGGAAAGAAAGAAACTCAATACGGAGAAGTTTTGTCATTCTAAGTGTGGTGCTCAGTAAACGTCCTTTGAATCCATGGATAGATCCTACGGGCGGCTTCCTAGATGCGAGAGACTGATGTCCACCCAATTGCAACACCGAATTTGTTCTAAAAACATAAAAGGGAGCTATTCCTGCCAACTGAGCATCACACCTGCCAAAAACATTACTACTTTGTGATCCGTAGGGAAAGAGAAGATGGAATGCCCCCAAGGCCCAGCTCTTCATCTCTCTATCGCCCCTTCTTTATATCTCTAAGTAGGGTCACCCCTTTGTGAGGAACAAGGTCTTGCTGAGACAAGCCTTTCTGAAACCATGCGATGCACGCTTTGTGTCTGCCTTCACATTGCAAGGTCAGGCGGAAGGGCGAGATAGATGCGTAGCTCAGAGGAGCAACTGCTTCTTTAGCACACATGAGATTCTGGGTTACTTCCTGGCGTCATTCCTCCCAAAGAGAAGGGCTTTGATCTGCTGTTGGGCAAATGCTCCCACTCTATGCCCACACGGTTTGGATGCTGAGTTTCTAATTCAGGCTGAGGACCTAAGATGGGCTCTCCAGTACTGGTCCTGTTTAGTGCCACAAGCTTGCAATAGTAACTGTATTATAATCCGACTTTAATTCTCGAGGGTTAGGGAGCTCTCCTGTTTTGCTTCACATCGTTGATCCCTCAGTGCTGGAACGTGCAATGCTTTTCCTTGTTGTCACATTTAACTCTCACACCAACCCAGCTCCCCAGCAATCATATGACTCCCATTATACAAAGGAGGAAATTAAGGCTTCGTACAAATAAATGATAGGGTCCCACACAGTTTCCAAGGTGGCAGCCTAGTCTTAGGAGACAAAAGTCCACCTAATGTTCAAGCCCACGCTATCATCAGTATTTGATAGCAAATATTTGTTTCTGAAGCATTTTGCCGTTATGAACCTTGTCCTGGAGCAGCAAACTGAGCTCTTATCCCAGGAGATAGCATACTGCCCCAAGGTCCAGTCTCTCTGCAGTGACAACACCCGACTTACAGAAGTTTCGTGGCTCCTGATGCAAATTCAAGGTGATAACACATATGCACGTTCACCTTCATCAATGCAGACTGTTGCGTGACATGCGCAAATAATTACTTAGCTGTATTGTGAAATCCTGCGAGGAAAGAGAGCAAGGTTTGAGGTTCAGTGTGGTGCTAGGGAGTGCAGTGTGAGGCGGTCTCCCCTCCCCTCCCCTCCCCTCCCCTCCCCTCCCCTCCCCTCCCCTCACCTCCCCTCGCCTGGGAAGAGCTCAGGGTGTGCAGACAGAAGTGTGAATGGAGGGAAGCCTTGGAGGTGCCATAAAGCTCCCCTGTGAGGTGGGGGTGGCAATGAGGTATTGGAAGAAGTCAATCGTCTTCTTCCTGAGGTGCCAGATGTTCTCGGGTGGGAGATGACAGGGGGCTAGGTGAAGCTCTGCCTTTTCTAGTGCAGAAGCTGTCAAATGGCTCGTTGGTTATACCCTGTCACTCCATTTTCTCGACTACGGCCTCTAGAGATGTGATCTGACTCTAGCCTCTCACTTAGAGTCAGCAATTCTCAGTTCTTTGGGGGTTCTCCTTGCTGAGAATAGACATTAATGGGGCACAGTCTTCCTGCCTTCCTTTGTTGCCTTAAAGACAGTCACATGGCCTTTTGGTCACTGCTCATGGGAAGCAGATGAGGCGGATGGAGAGGAGATAGCGGTGCTGGGACCTCAAGCTGCATGAGGTTGGTCAGCTTGCTAAGTGGCTGGTGGCCCTGGTTGCTGCCCTTCTTTGGAGTGTTGTTGACGATGTTGTTGTTAAGATTTCTTATTCCTTGGTTCTTGTCAAACCATTTGCTTGTTTGGGGGCATCTGAATTCTATAAATGGACCGAATCGGGTTAGGGTTAGGGGTGACCCCCTTCTCCATGTGCTTCAGAAGAGCCACCCTGGTCCTTCTGCACATGGGACGTACATGTTGAGACCCTTCCTCCCTCTGTGCTCCCCGAAAGAATCTCATTGGGGTATTTGCTTTGAGAATTGTGATAAATATTCTTAAGAACTTGACAAGGAACTTTAAGCCCCTCTGTAGGTTGATAGTCATCTTTTGAACTCTGTTTTTTATTTGCTACAATCAATAATTCATTAGGATTTGCTTTATTAAAACATCACAAAGAGAGGTAACCTCGTAAAGCTGGTCATATCATGAATACAAGAATCTGGTTTTGGGCTGGAGAGATGGCTCAGAGGTTAAGAGCACTGCCTGCTCTTCCAAAGGTCCTGAGTTCAATTCCCAGCAACCACATGGTGGCTCACAACCATCTGTAATGAGGTCTGGTGCCCTCTTCTGGCCTGCAGGCATACACACAAACAGAATATTGTATACATAATAAATAAATAAATATTTAAAAAAAAAACAAAAACAAAAAAAAGAATCTGGTTTTGCATCTTTTTGTGTAAAGCTATGTCACATATGTAAATTCTTCCCCAATAAGTGATTTTTTGGAAACCCCATTTGCATGGAATCTCTTATTGGAAAAGATGTAGTTCAATTTGACTTGCTTATTAAATTCTTAATTTTTCCCGGGAATAGGCAATAACCATAAAGCCCTCCTGTGACTCATTAAACTCTGTGCTAAAGAATTTGCTGCAGACCCGACAGGGAGCCCCGGGTGCCAACATGGGGCTTCTGCTCAGGGCTGCATAGTTGTACTCTGGGAAGGACCTGGTACCCATCCGTGTTCGGGATGCAGTGCTGTGTTTGATTGAACGCAATGCATTCTTTGTTCTCGAGAAGATTTTTAAAAATCAGATGTGAAAGTTTAGACACATACCATGATGCTTGATTTCTCCAGACTGACTGTGACATGTGCTTAATTAATTGAGTAGGAAGTGAGGTATCTTTGATAGGGATGAGCTCCGTGGTGTGGAAGCACCCAGAGGAGAAGTTAATTCTGATTGGCATAGAGGAGTTTGGGACAGGAAGTGACACTTGGCCTTCACCCAGAAAAAAGGGCAATGGTGCCCTAGGAAGATGTTAGGGGGTGGAAGACTCTAATCCAAGGTATGGAACAATCACTTAGGGGAATAAGGAGTTGGTCTTAGTGGAAGACAGGTAGAAAGTATGCAAGGGGGAGTTAGCAAGAATTTAGGACTGTGGAGTTAAATGCCATTCTAAGGACTTCGGATTTCATACTGTAGGCATTAAAGATTTTTGTGCGAGGTTGTAATGAAATGATGCCTTCACTTTGGAAGTCCTGTGCAGATTGAAGTTTTTAGTTGAAGAGTGAGCACATCAATTTGAAGGTGATTGGAACAGCTCAAGAGAGGTGAACTATTAATTTAAGTGGACGACTTCAATTGGGCAATTTAACAGATCTTTTAAGGACTCAATTTTCAAATTACAATTGTTGATGGAGGTTAAAAGAAAGGCTTTCAAAATGGTTAATAGAGAAGTGGGATGGGTATCAAAAGATGTCGCTACAAAGTGGCCCTTGTGATGCAAGCCTTCATCCCCAGATACTCAGGAGGCCGAGGCAGGAGGATCACTCACACACGGAAGATCTCAGTGGGTCACAGAATTAGTTCAACACCAGCTGTGAAATTCGATAATACCATTCTCAAAATGATAAGTTAGGAAAGGGTGGGGAGCGTAGTTTTGTTGTAGAGGGCTTGCGTAGAAGCCCTGTGTTCAATTTCCAGTAACAGATAGCCAGACACGCATGCACACTGAGTACTCTGTTATCTCCATAATGGTAAGATGGGTCTAACCACAGAGCTGATATAAGACTGTGTTCAGGGATCACTAGCGACTAAATAGCACACTTCATATGTGGGATTGTTTTATGGCAAAATAGTTTCATTTGGATCAGCTATAGATTCATAGCCTAATAGCTCCTTTTTGTATAAGACGGAGGCTGCTGCAGTTATTATAATTTATTCATACTTGTCAAACATGTATTCTACATTGAGTTCTTGAGCTACTCTCTGACTTCGGAGGCCTAATTCCCTAGCAAATGGTGGAAGGCATGGCGCAAGGGGTGTGATTCCCATGTTGGTACCAAATTACGCTTCTGTCTTCAGCAGCTTCCGTTTGGAACAGCAAGTTAAGCCCATTAGCATATGCACAGTTAAGCCCATAGGTGCCTGTCTGGGAGCGGAAGATGGCAGATGCTTTCGGAGGCTCTGTTTGGGAAGGGAGCCTGTTAAACCTCTTGTCACTGTTGGCAATTTCAGACTGCTGGAGTTTGGAGCCAAGGGCAGCGATTGGAGGGCCAAAGAAGAGGAGTGGAAGGAGGCTGTCCTTTCCCCCTTCCTCTTCTTTGCTGTCTTTTAAAGGAGGAGGGTATTGTAAAGGTTAGGGTGGCGGTTACGTAAGAAAACAAGGCAAGGGTTTATTAGGGACAGGAGTCGGCAGGAAACACTAAGCACATTCAGTACCAGTTAGAATGAACCTTGAGGGTTGCTGAGACGTGCTGAGAGCGTCCGTGGTAGCTGATGCCTGACTTTCCTGTTTGGAGCAGGGACGGACATACAGGGGAGCGGAGACATGGTGACACTCTTCGGGATGAACATTGCTTTGGTGTCCTGCCCTCCAGCCCACTGAACTTCACAAATCAAAGGAAGAGCTGCTTCAAATCTAGTTAGCAACAATAACAAGAAAAGATTCATAGAAAAACGTTTTCTAGGAAAGGAAAAAACCAGAAACCAAAAGTCAGCTTACTGTAGCGCTCATGTTGCATAAGCAGGATTCAAGTGCTGGGTTATTAATCACCCAGAACAGTTCACAAATTATTGTGTCCAGATGAGACAGGCCCCGGGTCTCCTGTCTCACCATCTGGACCCTGTCCACCCCACTCCTCCCTCAACACTTGGAGTAGAAGGGACATTTAAACGTGCCAATTTTCTCCTTGTGGGAAGCCTTGTTGTTTGTTGAGCAAGGAGAAGGATTTACGTTATTACACAGAAGAAGGCTGGGGGCTCTCCAAGGCCTTAATTTGTTGGTAGGAAATCCTAGCATCTACTACCACTTCTATTTGGAACTTGAGTACCTCGGGCAGGTTTGTAGATATATAAAAGTATGGTTATTAGGCTGCACTTGACTTCTTCATCCAGTTCCTCAGCTCAAAATTTATTGCCTGCTTTTTTTTTTCCTTTTTATTTATCAAACCTATCCTCAGAGGAGAGGTATTTTCTGTAGCCACAAGAAAACATCTGTGAGCTCAAACCTTAGAGGCAAAGAGCCAGTGAGAACATTTGGCATGTGAAGCTCAGGTTACAGGAGAAGAGAATTAATCAAGGAAACCCTTAAAACTACGAAGAAGGCAAGTCAGAAATGTCTCTTATCGCTGGCAGGCTGAAGTCCTGAGTTCACAGTAATTAAGAGATGTCAGAATCCACAATGAATCAAGTAGGAGTGTCGTATTCTGGTAACTTTGGAAGCTGGTGTCAGTCCTGACTGCCAGGATTTATGGTAGATTATATAATGGAATCCCGAGTTCTGAGACTTCAAAGGAAAATCCTGGCTCTTTTGCCACTCACTCTCTTAGGTCAAGCCTACACAGCAGCGAGCCAAGTGGAGGGTTGAGTAGTTATCTGAAGTAGGCGGTAGAGACGGCCAAACCCGATAATGTATAACCAGAAAGTTGCTGTGGAGGGAGAAGCGTGGACTGAAATAGGATAAAGAGCGAGGGTAGAATGCCAGGAAACTTGGTCAATGTCCACAGTCCAGCTCCAACAACAGCCAGTGCCTTGCTTCACATAGTTGTTCAGAACCAGTCTAAAACACCAGGGCAGCATTTAAAAGTTTATTACTAAGGTGGTTGCACGCTTGTGCAAGTTTTTTTTTCCATATCAATGATATTATTGGTGATTGTGTCTAATCCTAAGTCTCTCTGGTGAATGCAGCTCACTCTCTCAGACGCTGGGTGGAAGTGGAGAGGGAGCCCGCACCATCTAATTTAACACAGGGGAAAGGTTTCTTGCAGAAAGTTGTTGAGCGTCATCTTGAATTAGCTTTTCTCCCATTCACAGTGCACGTGCTTTTCCCATTGAAAACACTGCTGCTTTCTAGCACTCGGGGTTCATTATGTTTCATGCAACACCACAA